CGAAGCAAACGACATCAATTCATCTAATCAACAGAGATTACTTGACAAATAAATCTCTATAATCACCACCAACACGACCAACACCAGAACAATAAACAGTACAAGTAACAATATCAGCATTATTACCATTATTAGTAGGAAGTGAACAAAGATCACAAACAGAAGTTGTTGTCGTTGTTCTAATAGTAGTAGTTGTTGTTGTTGTCGTTTTAGTAGTAGTTGTTGTTGTTGTCGTTTTAGTAGTAGTTGTTGTTGTCGTTTTAGTAGTAGTTGTTGTTGTTGTTGTTGTTGTTGTTGTTTTAGTAGTAGTAGTAGTAGTTGTTGTTGTTGTCGTTTTAGTAGTAGTTGTTGTTGTTGTTGTTGTTGTTGTTTTAGTAGTAGTAGTAGTTGTTGTTGTTGTCGTTTTAGTAGTTGTTGTTGTTGTTGTTGTTGTTGTTGTTTTAGTAGTAGTAGTAGTAGTTGTTGTTGTTGTTGTTGTTGTTGTTGTAGCTAAATGAATATGAGGAGTTGCATTGAATTAAAAATATCTGTGCTACACAATATTCTCGCAGTGTGTTGATAAATTGACTTCAGCCGGCTTTTGAATTTTTATATAGAAAAACTTTATCATTATCAAGATGCAGTATAGACTTCTCCATCTCAAAATATAATACAGTTGATTACTCGTTAAATACCTCAAAAATTGAACGGATTATAGACTTGCAGTCTTCCTTACTTAAAAGAGTACACTGAATCTCTATTGCTTATATGTAAAACTTGATGGGTTAACTGATGAACATACGATCATTTAATGTTCGAACTTTTTCGGAGATAGGCCAGGAACGCTTGTCTGTCAATTCCAAGTCAAAAGGATCCTTTTCACAGAAGAAATCAAGTTTTCTCAATCTACGCAAGAATGAAATGTCTATCTAGTTCCGCTCAGCAGTTATGAACACTTTATTGCGAGCTCCCAAATCGGCCCACTACCCACTGGCTATTCTAAAACACATATAGACAGAAGTATTCGACTACACTCAATCGACTTGCGATGTTTATTTTCATTTTCATGGTGGTCTGCTGTCAACAAGATGAAATTTTGAAAACTTATCTTTTTGCGCAGTGAGGCGCGTGGAATTTACATTTTCAGAGCCACGTTCTGTTTGCACCAGATCATCATGGAGATGAAACTGTATTATATGTTGAAATTGATTAGTTAGGTTTAGAATTTGGATATATCTAGTTTGGATCTATTGACCTATCAACTCAAGTGAACAGTGATATTCTCAACGTTTTGAGCAGTCATCCTATTCTTCAATGTTGAACATTGCGGAATCAGTTCCATTCAATTTCGGGAAGTCTATCATCATTCAACATAAGAGACCTACTGGGCATTAATCGAGTTCCGTCAATTCTCGGAATTCCGTTCCGGAATTACTTAATTATTTCAGAGATTAATCTTCAACCACAACAGCATACGTGAGGGTGACGACGAGAAGTAATTCCGGTACGAAATTCCGAAATCGGAAGCAGTTTCCGGAATTTCAATTAATTCCGTTTCAATCGAATTCTCGGAATTCAGAAAATTGCCGGAACTCGATCAATGTTGACTTGGTCTGTGTTGTAGCATGCTGATCGAGTTCCCGAAATCGAAAGGAATTAACTCCGGGAGCGGAACTGATTCCGTAATGTTCAACATCGCGGAATAGGATGTATTCTCAACGTTTTGGGGTTCACTTCGAAGTAGGTATGTACAGTCTGAATCCCATTGTTCCCAGCTTACAATCACTCAACTCTAAACTTTCAAGTAAGCAAAAGAAAATGCATATCATTTATTGAAGTGTTTTATTGGTGAACTTTTTTGCCTTTATCCATGACTTTCGACTGAATATGCTGTAGTTTTAACGGAATTCACTCTAGCATGAGTATATCACCAGAATGTTACATGAGTTGAGTGGTTGATAGGATTCATTCAAGAGATAATTGGTCGAAATACATCCTCTGGATAAATATGCTTCCCTATTAAGTCATTTGCTTCTTTCTTTTCTCATAGGGCGACTTTCCTTCATATTCTCTTTCTTGGGGATTCCTAAGAATGGTGGAATTCTGCCAAAATCCGAACATTTGA